TTCGGTGCCAGCCAGGTTCCTCAGCACCGAAAGGTGGGCCCTCCAACTGTATTCCACCATAGGCCCGTTAATCCCAAACGGAGTCTATGTCCCAATTATTTAACCACCTGAGGCGAGCAGGGATGTTGTATTGATGACGGTCCATATGTCGATCCGGGGCAACTACGCGGGTCAGAAGGCCTTTCGCGACAGGGAGCAGACCAATGTGATGCCATGTATCCCTCTAAGGGCCTCCGGATCGGTTAGGGCTGCCACCCCGAGCCGCCAGAGTGACGACCGGAAAGCGCACCGCGGTGGGACGGAATGGCCCTTTAGCACTTGACCGTGAGCAACGTGTCCGATAGTGCTGTACTCAAGAGGGCCTCTTTACCGGACAGAAATAAGACGCTTCATTAGTGTTGAATGGAGTGGTTCAAATTGAGTTTTAAAAAAAACACAAGTTCATCCCATGTTTCCCTGAAAACGTTCATTATTTTGCAGAATTGACTAGTGGAACAAATAGTCTCAAAGCGTTTGAGCCTGCGCGCCGGATGACGATAGTGCAGTTGTTAACGCGCCTGCGTCAACCACTGCGCGTCTGGGAAACCACACGCATGGGGTTCGATTCCCCGCGGTCCCCGCCCTTCCCACCAGGTTGAGAGGCTAGCGACGCCATGTAGTCCCAGTAGCTGAGTGCGTCATAAAGCCCCAGTGACACGCCTGTGGTCTCGGGGAATAAGGCTGGCGATGGCTTAGGTCGAAATTATCGTAAACACTCGTCTTTGTACTACCTGCTGCATCTTCGTCTTACTGTGAGGCGACGCAGCGGCCGCCGCGTGTAGCTTGGTCCTCAGCCGTCTGCCGTGCAGCAGCTCAGATGGGATGGCTCCGGTAGTGGGGTGCTCCGGTACTGCTGTAGGAACTTCTGCCGGTACCGGACGCGGTCCTCGCCACTCTGGTCCGCCGCCTGCAGTGCTGACTTCACAGTGCGGTTGGCCCGCTCCCCTGCACCCGACCCCGCCCGGTGGTATGGAGTCACACGAATCTGACGAGTCCCTACATTCTGTAGGTACTCAGTGAAGGCTCCGGACGTGAAGTGCGTCCCGTTGTCGGAGACAAACTCTTTCGGGTAGCCTTCTCGCGGAGCAATCACCTCCACGAACTGGATAGGGGCTTCTGAGCTCGCCTCTACACAAAACCCTACCTTGATCCACTTGGAGCAGTAGTTCACCAAAAACTGTCGCGAGCCGTTGGTTCTTGGGTGCCTTCATAGGACCGGCGTGGTCCACCCTGACCTTGTCCCGCGACGCCTGTGGCAAAGGTACGGGCTGCATCGGCGCGCTGCGTATCCTGGCCGTCTTGTCTAGCGCTGAACAAACGTCACAAGCTCTGACGATAGCCTTCACCTCGGTGTCCATTCTCGGCCACCCATAGACTTTTCTGGCTCGCTGTTTGGATCTTACAATCCCCTGGTGGCCCTCGTGAGCCAGTTGGACCGTCCTGGAGCGCGGTCTCGCTGGGACGACCACCCGCTGCCCGGGACGACCACCCGCTGACGACCACCCGTAGCACCAGGTCGCCCACCAGGTCGCCAGGTAGCACCAGGTCGCCCACCAGACTGAGCTCACCCCGGCAACGGGAGAACGGTTGGAGCTCCTCTGGACAGTCTCTGCATCGCCGCGGCCACCGCCCCGGAATATGCTCCATGAGCTGGCGTGGCACCGGGTCCTCCCGCGTTACCCTGGCCAGCTCGTCCCGCTGCATGGCCTGGGGCTGGGCCGCCACGACGTCACCCCTGCCACCGCCACGACGTCGTCTTCTTGAGCGTCCTCAGTCCGGCCTGGAAGTTTTGAAAGGTCATTCGCTGGGTTCTCCGATCCCTGGACGTGCTCGACCGTGAAGTGGCTCGCCATGAGACGTGACGCCCAGCTGGCGATCCATAGGCCGGCTCGACCCACACCTGGTGACGTCATCAGGGTGCAGAGCGCAGCATGATCCACTCGGCGGCAGAAAGACCGTCTCCACAAGCATTTTCTCCACTTCTCCACCGCCCAGACGCACGTGAGTACCTCCCGCTCCGTCACACTGTACTGTCGCTGTGCTGGGTTGAGACTGGAGGAGTCGAAGCTCACCACCCTCTTCCCCTCCGGATGCGGCTGGGACAGCGCTGCGCCAAGCCCGACGTCACTGGCGTCGGTAGTGACTCGGGTCGGCAGGGACGGGTCTTACATGGCGAGCACCTGGCTGGTCAAGATGTTTTGCCGTACTGCGCAGTTCGGACTGACCGGTTCGAGGCCCCTTGTTGACACAGAATGCCCTGTTCGGAACTGCAAGCCCCTGAACCATACAGGAGCCCGGCCAATGTAAATCGTGGGCCTGCCCTTGTCCCTCCTTGGGAAATGGACCCACAGAGTTCAGACCAACATGGAGCTGGCTGTTCGTTGTTCGTGATCTCTGGCCGAAATAGAGGAACAGTCAGTCTCACGAGTCCCTACCGGTGTAAGAGATCATCTTATTGACATTTGGGAATATGACCCTCTCAATGTGACCTACAGACAGCCCTTCGGACCCTTTAGCTTCCCCATTGAGCCCTTGATCTTTGGCCTCGAGAGACCCTTTGGTCCCCTTTTCGGGCCTCCCTCAACCACCGCTTCGACTCGGGGCCACTTGCCGCCACAGGACCCCTGTGAGGCACTGTTTGTGGTCTCGAACCGACATAGGAACCCCTCATTGTGTCAGGTACCCCGAACATTGCAAATCGCAAACTCCGGCCTCGTTTCTGCTTGGGAAATGGGTATCAAGGGCTCAAAAGAACATGGAGCCGACTTGTCAGTAGTCGTGGTCTCTGGCCAACTAAGAAATCTGCATTGTTTCGGTGTTCCCTGAACCGGTGCAAGAGGACCTCTGACTGATATGTCAGGTTATCACCCTACGGCCGCGATTCTTTATGTGACCTGCAGCCAGGCCTTTGGGCCCTTATGCCCTCCAGCCGGGCCCTTGATCATCGGTTCCGGGGTGCCGTCGGGCCCCTTTTCAGGTCTCATCGAATACTTCCCCTGGTCAGCTCGGGACTTGCGCGGGCACAGGACCCTCTGTTAGGCGCTGTGGGCCCCTGGCAAATAAAAGGTCCCTGGCAAGTGTAAATATCTGGCCGCGACTTTTTAACTGATTGGGAAGTGAGCCCTCAGACCTACACCGTCACGGAGCCAACTGTGTGGTACTGGTGGTAGCTGACCGGCATATAAGCCTGTGTTGACTCAGGGGCTCTCCGATGAGCGCAAAGGGTTCCCTGACCGGTATTTGATTGTCAGCCTTTGCAGACCGGAGCCTCTGAATAAGACTCCGACCAGCCCTTTATGCCATTCCTACAATCGCGCCCTTGATCGTCGGAACGAGTGGGCCCTCCAGGCTTTTCGGGCCTCCTCGAACACTGCCTCTAGCCAACTCTGGGCCCCTTGACGACACCGGGGACCCTGCTAGGTGCTGTGGGGCCTCGAGCAATGTCAATCGCTGACTCCTGCTTTGTCCGTGCTTAGGAAATGTGCCCTTAGGCCTATTCCGCCACGGAGCCGGCTGGGCGTTAGTGGTGGTGTCTGACCGAAATATAGGCCCTTATTGACTCAGTGGGCCCATGATCAGCACTCAAGGCCCTCTGGCTGGCATTGGAGTGCCCAGCCCTGCGGGCCGAAGCCCCCGCAATGGGGCCTCCGGCCAGCCTCTCCAGTCTTTCGGGCCCTCAAATCGGGCCCTTAATCGTAGGTTCCGAGGGGCCCGAAGGTCCCCTCGGAACCTCAGGGGAGGGGTAAGTTCCCCCTGTGCCCCCTGGTTGCTCTACGGCAGACAAACGTTGGCGACTCAGACAGACGTCGATGACGCAAGCAGACAGACGTCGATGACGCGGGCTAACCCACGCCGAGGATGCAGGCAGACAATCACGTCAGTGGCCACTGCGAAGCTTGTTCCGACGATGCGGCCTACACTCCAGATGGTATCAACAAAAATACGTCTTGTTGAATAACAGCAAACTTCACCCAGCATATCCAGGACGACCCCCTAGAATGTTAGCGTGGGTGCATTTATGGCTTTGGTTTCGCTTTCAGGAGAAAAGCCTTGCCGTCGCTCGACCGTCTATTCAGCCGCAGCACTCCCGAACAGGCTAGCCAAAAACTGACCTACGGCCGTCGCGCTGCGCCCCAAGCCATGAATTGCTGCCAGCTTGAGAAACGTCTTACCAAAATTCTTCTATTTAGTAGCGTTATACGAATCAAGTGTTTCTCAAAACAAGAGCGTAAATGACGCACTTGATGCATTTAATCTGCCCTGTTGTCAGTCGCCGAGATCAGTGAGGACCTGGTGGTGCTTGGAACGAGGAGGGGACCTGGAAATACGGTGAAAGTGTGTCACGATAAGCACATTAGCTGCAGTGACTTTCTGCTGTCCGCAACAAAATAGACTAGCTTTCCTTGAGTACACACACGCTTAAAAATACTAATTCCATCTTTTTTGAATTGGTGAATTTCTGGGAGCAAAGTCCATGCTAAGCAGTGTTTGCTGTGAGAGTCCTGATTCCCACCATCTTAACGTTCATTTCCAGGTCCACAGAAAAAATGGTGAAAAAATCAAACCAACACAATGCTTTCCATGGTCTTCCCTTCCCTCTTGGACTTAACCATGAGTGTGGATGTTGCCATAGATCACAGGCTGTCCCAATCAAGGGCATGGGCACTTTTGTGGTGCATTTCTCAGGTACACAGTTTGTTGCTAATTTCTATACATGCTTACAATGGAGCTTATGGTATCTGATGATAATACCTTGCTATCCATGTTCAAGTTGCTGGATTTATATCTTACATTTGAGATAAAAGATCCCCTGAGTTAAAATAGGATTTCCTGCCCAATGTGATAGTAGAGAAAAGTAAGCATGCCAGATTTGAGATAAATGGTATCCAAAGAAGTATAAACTTCCTCCATTTCTCCGTGTTTACTGCATCAGGTTTCCTTGGTGAACTGTAGTCTATGAGCTGTGGCAACTGTCCTTTTCTTGTCTCAATCATGTTTACCGAAGTTTGTAATGGTTTGACAGACAACTTAGTAAGTCAATGTACCAAGCATGTGTCTGTGCATGTCTGCATTTGTCTGAGTCTGTCTGTGTCTGTGATTGCCTATTGCAGTCTGCAACATGCTGTCAAAACTGAACAGCAATCAAACCATAGCCATCCATTTGATCAGATCTAATGCATTAGGTCATGTTACTGTGGTAATTACAGCCTTTTTTTCTCATAATCATAAAAAGAGTGATATAATTTACTGGTAGGTGGTTATGCAGAAGTTTTAACTATGCACTTAGATTCTTTGAGCTTGTGGGCACAGTGTGCCCATTTACCACTACCTGATGATCATGAAATGTTTGGTAATTATGGGATATCTCATGATATCTGTGATCCAAAGGCAAGAGGGCCTAAGTGTTATGTTAACTAAATTTTAAGGCCCTTTTGCATAGGAGGACAGATATGTTCTGGTTGTGGACAATTCTGAAATATGTATGCCTTGAAATGTTTTCAGATCACATCAAACAATGAATGGTGAAGAACATCATGGATTTTGAACTTATGAAGTATGCATTCAAGAGCATTGGTTGTCTTCTGACATATTTCTTTTTCTCCATATCACTTACATTTTATCAGAAATCTCTTCTGCAGGTCAGTTGCTGGCATGACATGATATTCAGGCTAATGATCAGGCATGAATATTAACTATCAAAATATGGCATTATCATTTGTCAAAGTGTATGCCAACTTTATTGTGCAATAAGGCAATTACAGATTGCACTCAAACTATATTATATACTTTAAACAACAGTTATGTCACTGCTGAAACTTGAGCAATATGGTAACATGGGTTACCTTCTTGAATGAGATTTATGGTGCAACAATTATTCCTGCAATCTTTAGAGTAGAACACAGTCTTTTTGGTGTCAAAATATGCTATTGTTTTCAGTGGCGGATGAACAAGGTCTGCACTGTTTGCAAGCTAGTAGTTTTTTGAGGGTGACCACCTCAATGCCTTTCAACTGATAATGTTTCTTAAAAATCAAAACTGTCTTCAAGTGTATGCACAAAGTTTGATTTTAGGATTTTTCTGGGCAAACTCCCTTTAATGCAACAACTGTAACGTTGATTCAAATGTTAGGCATGTTGTGGATCAGATTGGGAAGAAAAACTGTTGCAAGATCAGTGTGTTGGTATGCATGTATTTTTGCTTGTGACTGCATAAAATGCATAAGTTCATGCCACTAGCCAGTCAAAAAGCACAAGTTTTGAGACACTAATATATGATTTTTGTAGGCTGCATGCTACAAATAATAAACAAGTTACAAAATTAACCCTGTGTGTTGTATGACACTTCATACTGGTGTGACCTGCAACAGTGTGATGTGCACATGCCATTCTTCTGACAGGAGCTGCGCTTTCCGCTCTCGATCGTACTCGCCCACCTGACCGTCAAGTTTCTCCTGGCGGCCACCGTGCGCAACTATCTCGAGTGTACCTACAACACGCAGCGCACCACGCTCTCATGGCGACAGTTCTGGCGCAAGGTGTCGGCGCCGGGCGTGCTGAGCGCGCTGGATATTGGCCTCTCGCAGTGGAGCTTTGAGTTCATCACTGTGACGCTCTACACCATGACGAAGTCCACGTCCGTCATCTTTATTTACGTGTGCGCCCTCTTCCTACGCATCGAGCAGCTGGTGAGCACACTGCACTCCGGAGCGTTGGCGGGCCGCGAGCGTCTGAGCCTCGGGCGCTGTCGGTGGGCCTTGGGTGCGTGCTGCAAGCTGTAGGATGCGAAGGGGTGCTGATGGACTCCAGTTAGTTGTTTCCGTGGTCGCCAGCATGTAAACTGCGCTGTAACGAGCGCGCTCGGTTAGTTGGGGCAGTTGTGTCACGCCCCCAACTCAATGTTTTTATTTCCCGTTCGCGCTACAGGACGTAGGGTCAGGTATTCGCACCCAGGGCGGCAACACTTGTACAAATGCAGTAAAACCTGTGACACATCCGCCGGGGGCAGTGGCGCCTGTCTGCAAGTGCATGGACACAAGGGTGGCCAGTGTCCTGGCTAGGGGGGCATACGTTTGACAAAGGGCCCCTGATAGTGGCACGCCCTTTAAAAATTTGGCGGATATAGCCCTTTTTGAAGCATGCTTTTTCATTTTTATCTTCTCGTACTGGAATGGAAGCCAAAAGCTACCGCAACATCAATTCCGTCTTAAATTTACAGCCAATAAACGGAAGAAATCATGCGTTAATTTGCACTCGGTTGGGGAGGGGGCAATTTGACCCCCACAGAGGTTTTCCGAAATTGTTTCCGAACGGCGCGGCGTGGCCGCGCCAAATTCTGTGTAGCTGTAGACAACTGAATATTGGATCACTCGGTATCGAAACATTTATTTACATTTACATTTAGATATAACCTGTAAGGTCGCTGTCCTACGGCAGGTCAAAGTCAGGTCATGGATTCAGCGAAGACGATGTCTGGGGAATCGTTCAATATGATGCAACAGTGGAGTGTTAGACGACGCCATACATCTGGGAGAGTTTCTCAGGCGATACAATAATTGGATAAAAACATTTAGTTGACGTAGGGTCAGGTATAAAGATCAGACCAAGGCCAAAACTAACCTGTTTTATTGCTCTAGATCTTGCTGTGCGGAGTATTTTCTGGTGCTCATTTCAAATTTTTCGATAACAGGAACTGCAGTATACATCCCTCATGGACTTCTGAAGGGTCAAGATAGGTCACTGGCCTACAATTACCCGGATCAACATTTTGTTTTTAGGAACATTCTGCCGTGCGTAATCTTTGGTGCTTCTTCAAATGCCAAACTCAAAGAACTCTTGTGGGATTTGGGTCACCACGACATACGAAAAGTCAAAAAAGGTCGCTGACCTTAAATTGGCACCGATGACCTGTTAATTAAAGCAAATACCTAAGTTCGGGGACCCTTGGACACCAGTCTGGAATTCTCCCTCGTTTGACGTTATTTGATCCGGAGGTCATGCTCCTGGAACCTTAAATTTTGATACAAGCTAGTTCACATACAGGCCAACCAACGCGCCCTGTGGGTTTTGGCTTTCTAGCTCACTTAGTTTCTGAGATCTCAAGGAAGGCAAATTGACCCTCACCCGAACAGAGGGCATTAAACATGCCACCCGGGCACGTGCTAAACAGCTGCAGAAAATAAATCCCCGGTACTGTTCAATTTACAATTATCCGGGGGCTATTTTTAAACCAACAGAGCTCCGAAGTTTTGCCAGAATTTTTATCTGAGTTATACAGGAGTATTATGGCCCCCGCGAATATAGATAGTAGATGCAAGTGGGTCAGCAATTTGTGTAAACATGACCAAGCCATGCTTCTGTGGAAAGGTTCAACATTGTGTCAGAATCGACCGTGACGTAAATTTCGTAGCGTAGTGTAGAACATGCGCACTCGCGAATCATAGCAACAAAGGCCTCGACGCCAGGCGTTGCAGTCTTCGCAGGCCACGTGGCGTCACACCCACGGTTAATACCAAGCTAGGGTCAACGGACAAAAGTGATGACACATCTGAATGGGGTACGTTTAAACGCTTTAGGGGACAAAATCATACTTGTATAATCTAGTCCGGGCGTATACTTCAACTGTGCCATTTTTAGGTTGATGATACGACCGGAGTGGCTTTACAGCGCTGCGAAGTGGCGTTAGGATCTGATGGTGGGACGGAAACAGAAGCGGAGGAATAGCTACTTCTCGTGTTGTTGTCACTGTTGACCTGTCCAAAATATACGGTTAAGGATGAACTGTAAAAAAATGCTCACATACTTATCTTTGAACGGCGCGAACTAACTTTGAGGCTCTCCGTAAGCCTGCTTTTACGACGGTTGTTCTCGCGCGCACGGCCCCCGCAACCTGGTGTTACATACAGTAGCCAACGCTGTTCGGTTTTACGCAAGCTGCATACATTGCATTGCATTGCTGCATTGTCCGTGCTTCCGAGATGGCGGGTGCGCAGGTTTAAACCTTTTGATGTAATTTGTTTCCCCATGTCCCCCTGTGCCTCCCTGTCTGGACCACTGCATAGGCATGCTGTACGTGATTCCATTCGTCGCCGTCACGTAGTGTGCTTGTGACGTGGCGTGCTTGTGACGTGGTGTGCTTGTGACGTGGCGTGCTTGTGACGTGGCGTGCTTGTGACGTGGTTTGCTTGTGACGTGGTGTGTTTTCAGCAATGGTCTATGGCGCTGGTAGTGACGCTCATCTCGGGAGGCCTGGTGATCTTCACGTACGAGTCGACCACATTTCACCTGCTGGGCTTCCTGATGGCGCTGGCTGCCGCGCTGAGCAGGTGAGCAGCTGACCTGGGTGCGCGCGCCTCCGCTCAGGCTCGTCGCAAGGCCAGACCATCCACAGCCCATGCCAGGTGTCAGCCCCCATTGGACGGCCGCCCGCCGTCAATTACCACAATTGCTATCAGGAGCCCTTCCCGGGGATGATTCTTGATGAGCCCTTCCTAGCCCTGATCGACTACCAACCTGGCTTTGCAGCCTGCTCAGCCGATTGGGGGGGGGGGGGGGGGGGGGGGACACGAGCCGGCTGACCGTGTTGCGAAGGCGGCCTCTGCTGCTCCCTGACGGTACCATGCGGGGTCCTGCGAGCGACCTATAGGCGTGAATCAAACGACGCGACAACAGAATGGCAGACAATGTCGGGTCTGAGAGGAGCCATAACAAGATCAAAAGCCATTAAACCTGGGTCGGGGCACTGGTCGTCCTTTCTGGGCAAGTCTGGACAGAAAAAGAGATGCTGACTTGTGTACGTATTGGCCATAGTTTCAGCACGCACTCATGCCGACTGAGCAACGCTGCAGGCGTCCTTATGTACGATGGGTGCGGTGAGACCCTCGTTGTCAGGCATGCACTGATTGAATATGCACTGTTTGTAAACTCGTCGTGTAGTTGAAACGTAACAAAAGCACAAAATAGCCTAAGAAGCCGGCACGCTCCATAGTACCAGACATCCTCATCATTTACTACCAACCCCTCCCCGGTCACCCTTTCCTCGTCTGTCCACCGCGCCTCCGTCCTGTCCTCCGACCATAGCTTGGCAGTCGTCCGTCTCCGCCGTCTTGACGCCTCTTTAGCCCTTCTGTCTTCCGACCGTAGCTCCACAGCCGTCCGTCCCCGCCGCCTTGACGCGTCGTTAACCCTTCTGTCTTCCGACCGTGGCTCCACAGCTGTCCGTCTCCGCCGTCTTGACGCCTCGTTAACCCTTCTGTCTTCCGACCGTAACTCCACAGCCGTCCGTCCCCGCCGCCTTGACGCCTCGTTAACCCTTCTGTCTTCCGACCGTGGATCCGCAGCCGTCCGTCTCCGCCGTCTTGGCGCCTCGCTAGCCCTCCTGTCTTCCGACCGTAGCTCCACAGCCGTCCATCTCCGCCGTCTTGACGCCTCGCTAGCCCTTCTGTCTTCCGACCGTAGCTCCGCAGCCGTCCGTCTCCGCCGTCTTGGCGCCTCGCTAGCCCTCCCAATCTGTCCGCCGCCTTAGACTCCGCTTCTTCTCCCAACCTGCCGCAGCCTTGTTGCATCCGTCGTATCCCTCTAAGCTGCCGGCAAACTCCGGCCACCACTCTCCCTGTCTTCAATGGTCGGTTTAAATGCCACTTTTCTCAGTATCACGTTCAGGATGAACATGAGTGAGCTGTTCGTTCCGCATAAGAACCAGGCTGAGCCTAGTTTTTTGGGAACGAAAGAGCGATTTTGCAAATGTTTTGGTGCAGCATTCTCGATTTATGATTATGATATTGAAATAAAGAAGGTGCGCTTCAATCCACAACCACCTTGTAATCTGATCTCCTGTCATGCAGCGGCGTGAAACCGCCGCTGCGTCGTGAGTTACGGCATATGCATGCAATGCTCAAAGGAATGGCCTGTCTCCCCTTACTTGGTCACCACTTGATACCTCCAGTGAGCCGGTTGGTAACGTTTCGCTCAGAATATGCAGGAGCTGTGAGGGACCTGGCTATTCCTGTGGCGTGCAGGATGACTTGTAGCGAAGCGCCGCTATCGCCATTGCGTCTCTCATAGCTGCAACTTCCCGAGTGAAGCGGTAGGGTCTCCGGGGAGCGAGTAACGGACACGGTGCTGACCGCGCTGGGGACGGGACAAACTGGCCCTGAAAATTGTCGGCTGGTTTCCGATGGGCATCCAGGTATCAGCCGGCGCGGGAAAGCCATGTTAGGCGATGGCGAGTGTTCCGAATGGTGGCGTATTGTAATAAGACGCATAGGTGGAACGTAGTGGCGTGGTGTTGGATCTGATTTAATGCTTTTCGTATTCGAATCGTTTCTAAAATGCCTGCAGGGGCCAGAAATGTGTTAACACGCACTCGGGTGGGGGTGGGGGTCAAATTGACCACCCTGAATGTTTTTTTTCCGGAACGATTTCCGAACGGCGCGGCATAGTCGTGCCAAATTTTGCGTAGGTGTAGGCAATTGAATAGCGGATTGTTTGGCATCAATTTTAATGTACCTTGTAAGGTCGCTGACCTGTGACAGGTCAAAGTCAGGCCATGGTTTCAGCGAAGTCAATTTCTAGGGAATCGTTCAATCTGATGCAACAACTGAGTGTTAGAAGGGTATCCAGCGGGCCGACCAGGCGCGCGTTAATCGTGATAATGGCCTGACTGTGTCTTCGTTCTGTTTAATGCGTCCATATGGACTGAACCATCTTTTTCTGGTGGCCGCCCACAGCCCAAACTGTCACGCTTCAAAAGCTGGTCGTTACTGTCGCACACCCCAACAGAAAATGATGCTTAGGTTTACAGAGTAAAAGGAAACTACATGCCATCGTCATGAAGTGTGGCCACATCCGACTCCGCACAGCTGCCAGCCACACCCTTTTGTTCGGTGATGCGATGCGTCATCCCTCGCACACTGCTCGTCCCATCAGTTGGCCAGCGCATGGCCTGGAGCGCGCCTCCGTGTCCATATGTGGTGTCGCTACCTTCATCCATTTTCTTTTCCGGAAACAGTTACATTTTTTAAAATGTTTGTCACAATTGATTTTGCGCCTCTAAATATTGTAGTTAGTGGCGCTTTCGTTCTGCTGCAGCACCATTTTACCATAAAATGTTTTACGAGTTATGAATAGTATGGTGGATTTCTTATCGTATTCATGGCGCTCAGGCGCTAGTAGAAATATGCTGTTTGATAATTTTGTACCGCTGCTGCCATAAGCAGTTGTCTCGGCGTGGAAAGCCGAGTATAACCGTTACCCCGCTATTTATGCGATGCTCGGACATCGCCACTGGTGCGCTTGGCTGCTCCCAACAGAGGTCACCGCACAGCGGAGCCGTGCGGCGCGCGGCTGGCATTACGCCCGTGCCGGCAGTGGGCTGCGGTGGACGCTGTCACAGATTCTGATGCAAAAGAAGGAGCTGGGCCTCTCCAACCCCATCGACATGATCTACCACATTCAGCCGTGGATGATCGTCAGTTTGATGCCGTTTGCCGTCTTCTTTGAAGGTGAGCCATCTTGGCGAGCGCGGGCCTCCTTTCACGCGCCTATGACCAGCCTCCTGCGGGCCCTTCGACTGCCCGCGTCCTCCGTATAGCTAGCTGGTAGAACAGTGCTCGGTCACTACTGAAGTACGGCCTTTCCACGTTCCTTGTGCTCCCGATGATGACATACTCGGCGGGTGGAGGCCAAGCCAGCCGACGTATTGAGGCGTGGTACCATTAGAGGCACGTCACGGCCGCCACGTTTTTCTCTTGTGTCGGGATGTATGGCCATGTAATGGGCGTTGAACACCGGGACTGCAGGCGTCACATACTGCGATTAGTGTGCTCGTCAGAACACACTGGCTAAAGTAACACGGGTTCGTAGTGTTATTGTGGGTGGAGCAGTGAAGTTTTCTTCCGCAGCTATGTCGATTTGTGACCACTGCACGTTTCACCGCTTCGAATAGGCAGCCTTTACGAGACTGTGACACCGTGTGACTCGTCTGAGCTGTTGACGAATCTACGGTTCAGACGAACATCTGCACCTTTGTTGTGTTGATGCCGTTCGTACCACCCAGCCCCACCCAGAAGCGTTCCAAGCTCTGCGGCCGTACCGTGTCCTCCCCTGCCCTGCCCTGTCACCCTGCCCCAGCCCCAGCCCTGCCAAGCCCCAGCCCGCTGCTGCCACGGCCCCGGCCCCGACTCCAGGCGGAGCGCGGTCACTCCCCTCTGACGGGCCCGGCCGGCGTGGGCGCCAGGTGCGGCCGTGGCCACGTCGCGCGACCTGTTTCTCTACTCGGAGCCGCACCAGCTGGCCGACTCGGCCGGCCGCGTGCTGCTCGGCTGCGTGCTGGCCTTCATGATGGACCTCTCCGAGTTCCTGGCGCTGCGCGTCACCTCCAGCGTCACGCTCTGCGTGGCCAGCGTGTTCAAGGTACGTCACTCCGCCGACCCCTGCAGAGGTGTGCTGCGCGGGCGTGGTGCTGGAGACGGCGCACTCATTCGCTCTATGCGATGCTGACTACGTGATGGGAGTGTTGGAAGCTCGGGTTGGTGACGCGACGGGGGCTGTGCGTCTCGTCACTTAGAAACATGTGGAACTGGAGTTGGAACTGGAACTGGTAAACAAACATGAAATTTAACGTATTCTTATGCATTTTCCTAAAAGAACACGTTTTGGTCAGAGCGGCCATCATCTTAGACGGCCCATAAGACGGCTCAGACCAATATCTGCCTCTCATACGGCCGGTCAGTGATATCAGATACGTTAGTGGAGAATAAACGGATGGTCACTCGTAATGATCCACGCAGCTTTCGTAGTTGTTTACGTCAGCGCAGTTAAAAACAGGTACTGCATTGCTGATGAAGCCTACATTCGGGTAGTGGGGTAATAAAGCTTTATGTCTGAAGCCGATAGCTCAACAGACACCAGTATCCCCTTGAATACGCTCGACCCGGTCCCGGTGTCAAAGATGCAAACAAGAACCATCATAACACTATCAGCTTCTTTTCTATCGTGTTTAATGTTTTAATAACATTCGCGCCACCTCCTGCCACCACTGTGGCAATAAGCCGCCCCGCCCAATCTCGCGTGTCTGTCTGCGGTGGGTTCCGCGGTCTGCTCTCCGCGTGCCGCCACACGAGGTGCGCGCCCCGCCGCTGGCTGTCCTCCGAGTTGCAGGCTGGCGTGTGACAGTCCGCGGGCCGCCACAGGAGGTGTGTACCCTGCTGCTGGCCATCCTGGTGAACGGCGACGAGCTGAGCGGCCTGAAGGCGGTCGGCCTGGTCACGTGCGTGGGCGGGATCGCGCTGCACGCCGGCATCAAGGCGCGCCACCTGGCCACCGCCCGGCCGGCCGACGTTCGGCCGCGCCACCTTGGCACCGAGCTGCCGCTGCTCGGCGAACACGACGACGACGACGACGACGAGGACGTGCTCTTCGAGAACCGATAGCGACGCGAAGCGCCGGCGGGTCGTGACGTCACGAGTCACTCTGACGTCACCGGCGGAGGGGTCTCTGTCTCCGCGAACGGCGGAGAGCCGGGGCTCGAGCGCCGCGGCTCAGGGAAGGCGGCGAGCGCTCGGCTCGGGATCTCAACACCAGCGAGCGCCGCTTTCGCGACAACGCTGGCCGGCTGGAGCTTGCGACGAAGGCGACGGGATACCGGCGCGGCTCGGAGACAAAGGCGGCGGCGTGGCGCCGCCAGCAACCTGTGATAACTAGGTCGCCATCATTCCTTGGGTGTGACATTGTTCCGTGGCGTGTGCGTGTGGGTGCGCGCCTTCCCGCCTTTGGTGTGATGTGGGATTCAGGTGTGGTGGTGTGACATTCAGCGTGGTGGAACGAGCTCCGCCGTCGGCGCCCGGCCCTCGGCGATCGCGCCGTTTTGGTGCCGGTGTTTTGGACCTGTTGTTAGGGGCTAGCGTTCTCAGGCGAGCTGGTTGCTGTTGGCGACACCCACGTTATCAGAGTTTATGTCGTTGGGAGGGTTAAAATACACCGATATGTTTGTTCTCAGCAGTCTGCTGGCCTCGCGACGTGCCATGGCACCTCAATCTTCCCTTCACGACCAGGTCCCGGAAGTAGAGAATATCGGGGCGAGGATCGCCCACTCGGCTGTCAGGGCTGCCGCCGCAGCATACCACCGCCCCAACCGTCAGCACACTAGCCGTAACACCCTCCGCGGTGCGGGACCCAGCTACTACTGCGGACGTCCCCAACCAGCTGAGTGCACGCAACCGTGCATGTCAAAGGCAACTGTTCGGCAAACCAACATTTCTGTTCCATGTGGTCGGGTCAAGGTCTCCAAAGGTTTCTTAGAAGTGCTCTCGTTCCGAAGAACATCCGCACGAAATGCAAGATGATTTGGGGGTAGAGCATTGGGGGGGGGGGGGGAGGGGGGAATTTAAATGCGTCGATCTTTCCACGCATCTACCTCGCCTATCTGAGCACATTGCTCACCCCTGGTACAGCATACTCATCTGGCGCCACTAATGTTTAGTGATATCATCCAATGGGACAGAACACAGATGCGTAAAGGGTCATTATAGCGCGTGCAAAAAACCTGCCATGGCGCTTCAAGCGGTGCGATCCCCTGACAGCTCGTTAGGACTAGCCCGGGAGTATCGGACCGTTGCCCTCGGCGGTCGCGAAGCTCGAGCATATATCGATATCACCGGGTGGCTCTCCCGCATTAATTATCAAATCTGAACAGAGTGCTCAGGGGCAAATAACACCCCATATTGAATATGACCGAATGGGATGTGTGCTGACAAGGTGACAGTTGACAGGGCACGATGCTCGACATTGGCATGATTTGGCTTTCAGTCCGGTGTACTTGCCGAGAACGCGACAAATGTAATGTTTCAGCGGAGTGTTCGTGGCATAATACAACTGCACACACCAGTAGAGCTGCTTCTTCGTTTCCTTCACCAGTGGCGTATCGTTCACGAAAAACGGTGGCCCAGCCACTGTCCATCAGTAATGATTGCACACCACACGCCTGCGTAACGCACACTGCGGCCGGAGAGAGACGCGACACGAACAAGCACGACATCGACCAAACTACTGGAATGAAGTGCAGCGGCGTGGACGCGTGACGCGTGACGCGTGACGCGCCGCCGCACACCGCCCGTCCGCTAAGCTCGGCAACCGATCGGGGCCGAACTCTACACCGCTCCCACAGCACGCGTGACCGGAGGTGACCGGTGCGTCGGTGGCCCCCAAGTTCAAGAGCGTGAACTAAAACACGCATCAGCGAGTCGGCCAGCAGCTAGTCAACTCGCACAGAGCGCACTAGGGAGCACAGCAATCCGCTTCGGAGTCTCACAAGGCAGAAATAGCGTGCCTTTCATGGTCGCCTTCGTGGCGGTCGCTGCCTTCGCAGGCTCTTCTAACTGCCTCGCGAGGGCGGACGGCTCAACTGAACGACACCGCAACGGGAGAAACGCTAACAAGCTCAATGGGTGCTTGCCGCCCGTCCGCCACTGCTGGGACCAACAGACGCACGCACCCGACCGTCGAAAGCTGTCACTGAATCAAGCGGAATCTGCCAGCGAGAGCTGGTCATCACAGACAAGCGGCGCACACGCCGGCGTCTAATGTAGGAGGCGCGACTCCGACCAGTTTGGCGGGGCACACGCCATCATTGATCAACGCTTAACGCACTCCAGCTTGGCCAACAAAGGTATTTAAATTTTGTTTGGGACCTGGCAATCCCAAACATCGAACTTGATGATACGCCGATCAGTACCGAATGCATTTAATAGACCGTCTAAACGTTTCTCGAGATAGACTTGAAAAAAACCTTCAGTATCTATCGGCCTCCTGAGAGCCAAGCCTAACCCAACAAGCGCGCCCATCACGAGATCGACGCGCCCAGGGGCCCAGTCATGCGGGCCGGTGTCGCCCAGCTACCTGGGCCACGGTCTGGCAGGCAGCAGCGGCGGCGGTGGCGCGAGGGCAGCCTACGTCGGCCGGGCGGCGGCTCCGCGCCATGACGGCTCGGCGCGCCCCACCAGCTGGCGGCGCGCGCGTGCTCGGATCAAGTGGCGCTGACCCCCGCGGCCGTGGTGTCGGCCGCGGACCCGCCGGGCCGCGGCGACCGCCCGATGTCACACAGAGACTGCTCAGCGGCCGTGGCAGCCGTCATCAACCCATACGGCAACGAGGACCAGCCCAGCGGCGTGAAGCGAGCGCAACCACTGCAACATTGACCGTAGCCGCCGCAACACCGGCACCGCACCGCGCCCCGTCCGGCTCTGTCCGTAGCCGCGGACCTAGCACAGTCCGCCAGCGTACTCGTCATCTTCGTCATCGTGCTGAACGACGTCCGCGGCGGCACCCGTCGCTCCCTGTGGGCAGACGGGTGCGGGCGGGGGGAGGCGTCAGGTCGGGCCGACACAGCTGCGACCAGCGTAACGAGCTCTGGCGCACGCGGCCGCACAAGTGCCCACCTGCCCATCAGCGGACGATGTGTGACACCGCTGAGGCCCGATAACTGCCAGCTATTTCGTTTCCAACAACTGCGATCCCCCTTGCCTGAAATAACGTGCTCTGAAAGAGAGAGATGACTGGGGATGCCCTGCGAGGAGCAGACACAGGCACAGCGGCGCACAGCTCGTCGTGTGGCGCAGAACGCGTGCCGTCGGCCGGCCGGTCTGGTCCACAGCCGGCCGTAGGAAACGCGCTCTCCGCGGGCAATGGGAGGTGGCTGGAGATCGTCTGGGCTGTCTAAGCGTCTAAGCAAACACCAGGGCCGCGTTCCCCATTACCAACGGCTGCCCACACGTTGCAACCTATGACGTCAGAGGTAGGTGCGTCACAACATCTCATGCGGTTTGGAGGTTAGTCGCTTATGTATGATGTAAGTACTTCCGACATCATTAGTAGCAACTCAAGTAGGTACTTTGCCATGAGGAACGCGGCCCAGCTGATTTGCAGTCCGACACAGAGACAGTGCCGGAGTCCAGCGACAGCGCCGGAGTCCGGCGGCAGCGCCGGAGTCCAGCGACAGCGCCGGAGTCCAGCGACGGCGCCGGAGTCCAGCGACAGTGCCGGAGTCAAGCGACGGCGCCGGAGTCCAGCGACGGCGCCGGAGTCCAGCGACGGCGCCGGAGTCCAGCGACAGTGCCGGAGTCCAGCGACAGCGCCGGAGTTCAGCGACGGCGCCGGAGTCTAGCAACAGCGCCGGAGTCCAGCGACAGCGCGGGAGTCCAGCGACAGCGCGGGAATCCAGCGGCAGCGCGGGAGTCCGGCGACAGCGCGGGAGTCCAGCGACGGCGCCGGAGTCTAGCAACAGCGCCAGAGTCCAGCGACAGCGCCGGAGTCCGGCGGCAGCGCCGGAGTCCAGCGACCGCGCCGGAGTCCAGCGACGGCGTCGGAGCCGCAGCGCCACCTCACCTGCGACACGGAGACGCTCTGTTGGAAGTTGGCCGCCAGAGCATCTGTCGACTGCGCCTCCGCCGTCGGTGACTTCTGCGGGTTTGCCTGCGGACAAACGTAACAATGTCGCAGGCATCAGAGGCACAACCCGGCAACCAGGTCATGCCCTGTTCCGCCCTCCCCCCGGATGGCCAAAGTCGGGCAAAACGTGGCGTTTTCGGACGATAACAATGCCGTTCTGAATGCGCCCTTGGCAGTCATGGCGGCAAACAGAGGTGACGGAAGTTCTCCAGGTGTGCGTGCGTGCGTGCGTGCGTGCGTGCGTGCGTGTGTGTGTGTGGGTGGGGTGGGGGGGGGGTGGGGGGGGGGGGTGGGGGGCAGTACAGCCATCTTTGGTTATTCCTGTCCAGTCAACATTCAGACAGACAATGCTAAATCTTCAGAGAGTGGGGCGGAGAGGAGGCGTCTACCCCCGGCCCGACGGTTTGCTTCGCCCTTTGCAGCATGACACCATTTTAGCATGAGGACGACGTGTCAGGTGCAAGCAAATATATAGGACAGGCAAAGGACGCGATGGGTGAAGGAAACGCCGGGAAAGGCCAGACCACCTTAAATAAATACGCAGCTCCATGGACGCGTCCATCGCCGCAATATTCCAGTCAGAAAGCCATCTGGGAACCCTACCGTGACTTCGGGCAGCTTCAGGCTGGCGGCCAGCTTGGCGTAGTCGATGTCCATGTGTTTGATGAACGACGAGCCGAGGGCGCGGCGCGCCAACTCCGGATCCTCTTCCTCATAGCCCTCCAGCAGCTGGGATAGCGTGCCCACCTGAGGTCGGGAGTCGTAGGGTCAGATGGTGAGCTAAGCTGAGGGAGGGTGGCCACCTGCGGTCAAGAGTCACAGGGTCAGAGGGTGAGCTCAGCTGAGAGAGTTCTCCATCACCCGCGACTCCGGTCAGGAGTGAAGGGGTCAGAGGGTCAGCTCAGGTGGGAGAGGATGGTTACCTGTGGTCACGAGTCACGGGGTCAGAGGGTCAGCTCAGCTGAGAGAGGGTGATCACCTGTGGTCACGAGTCACTGGGTCAGAGGGTCAGCTCAGGTGGGAGAGGGTGGTCACCTGCGGTACGAGTCACAGGGTCAGAGGGTCAGCTCAGGTGGGAGAGGGTGGTTACCTGCGGTCAGGAGTCGTGGGGTCAGAGGGTCAGCTCAGCTGAGAGAGGGTGGTTACCTGCGGTCACGAGTCATGGGGTCAGAGGGTCAGCTCAGCTGAGAGAGGGTGGTCACCTGTGGTCACGAGTCACTGGGTCAGAGGGTCAGCTCAGGTGGGAGAGGGTGGTCACCTGCGGTACGAGTCCCAGGGTCAGAGGGTCAGCTCAGGTGGGAGAGGGTGGTTACCTGCGGTCAGGAGTCGTGGGGTCAGAGGGTCAGCTCAGCTGAGAGAGGGTGGTTACCTGCGGTCACGAGTCATGGGGTCAGAGAGTCAGCTCAGCTGAGAGAGGGTGGTCACCTGTGGTCACGAGTCACGGGGTCAGAGGGTCAGCTCAGGTGGGAGAGGGTGGTCACCTGCGGTACGAGTCACAGGGTCAGAGGGTCAGCTCAGGTGGGATAGGGTGGTCACCTGCGGTACGAGTCACAGGGTCAGAGGGTCAGCTCAGGTGGGAGAGGGTGGTTACCTGCGGTCAGGAGTCGTGGGGTCAGAGGGTCAGCTCAGCTGAGAGAGGGTGGTCACCTGCGGTCAGGAGTCGTGGGGTCAGAGGGTCAGCTCAGCTGAGAGAGGGTCGTCACCTGTGGTCACGAGTCACGGGGTCAGAGGGTCAGCTCAGGTGGGAGAGGGTGGTAACCTGCGGTACGAGTCACAGGGTCAGAGGGTCAGCTCAGGTGGGAGAGGGTGGTTACCTGCGGTCAGGAGTCGTGGGGTCAGAGGGTCAGCTCAGCTGAGAGAGGGTGGTTACCTGCGGTCAGGAGTCGTGGGGTCAGAGGGTCAGCTCAGCTGAGAGAGGGTGGTTACCTGCGGTCACGAGTCATGGGGTCAGAGGGTCAGCTCAGGTGGGAGAGGGTGGTTACGTGCGGTACGAGTCACAGGGTCAGAGGGTCAGCTCAGGTGGGAGAGGGTGGGTACCTGCAATCCGAGATAATGGGCAGGCATCACAGCTGGGACAGAATGTCCATCTGCTATCAACTGGTTATGTGGCCAGGGACGACAGCCAGTTGTGACAGGGTGATATCTGCGGTCAGCCCAACCAGCGCCCAGTGGAGACATCTGGCGGTAGGAGGGACGGCGGACGAGTCCGCTCCCAATGGGCTGCTACGAAGCACTGGCGGGGCGTCAGCGCGTTGACTAATCGTAGCTTTCCTTACATACAAAACAGGATCCCATACAGCAGGGCTAAAGCACGATACCATTGCAGGCCATGGGACATCACGAAAAATGGCAAAAACAAATGGAGCTCGCGTTAACGAATTAATTAACCAATAAATGCCAAAAAGGCCAATTGCCGGCGGCAGGGCGGCACCGCCGTGGACTCGCCTCCTCGGCCTCGCAGTAGTTGCCCCACTCGTCGAAGGCCTTCCTGGCGGCGACCACATCATCCCTGGCGAGGTGAAGCAGCACCAGCACCACCGTCAGGCGGCCCAGCTGCGCGGCGTCCTCGAGCTCCTGAGGGCCGGCGGCACGGGGTCAGCGGCCGGCCACAACCACGCGGGGTACGGGGCAGAGAAGCAGTCCCATGTCAGGAGGCTGTGTCAGGCGACCCTAGCGGCCGATCAGAGTCCAAGCCAATCTCTGGTGTCGGCGACATAACTTGACGGAAAGCTGTTGATAAACATCGGCACTTCGTACGGACTACCTGGGAACGGCACGGCAGAATGATTGCGATGGAAGAAGCGAGCGCAATGAAAAAGGAATGACGAAGGTGACACGGCCTTTTCACAGCCCTTCCCTTCCCCACCCTCGCCTGCCGGTATCCTGGCTCATATGCTGGCCCCCACCTCACCTGTTGGTACCCACCTCACCTGCCAGTCCCCACCTCATCTGTCGGTACCCTACTTCGCATGCCGGCCCCCACCCCACCTGTTGGTACCCCATCTCACCTGCCAGTCCCCACCTCACCTGCTGGTAACCCGCCTCATCTGCCAGCCCCCTCCTCACCTGTTGGTACCCCGCCTCACCTACCCGCCCCCTCACCTGTTGGCACCCCGCCTCATATACTGGCCCTCACCTCACCTGTTGGTACCCCGCCTCACATACTGGCCCCCACCTCACCTGTCAGTACCCTGCCTCACATACTGGCTCCCACCTCAACTGTTGGTACCCCACCTTACTTACCAGCCCCCACCTCACCTGTTGGTACCCCACCACACATACTGGCCCCCACCTCACCTGTCAGTACCCTGCCTCACATACTGGCTCCCGCCTCACCTGTTGGTACCCCACCTTACCTACCAGCCCCCACCTCACCTGTTGGTACCCCACCACACATACTGGCCCCCACCTCACCTGTTGGTACCCCGCCTCACATACTGGCCCCCACCTCACCTGTTGATACTCTGCCTCGCCTGCCAGCCCCCCCCCCCTCACCTGTTGGTACCCCATCTCCCTGCGGACGGACACCACGGCCTCATCGTAGCGACCCAGGCGCACCATCAGCCGGGATGTCTTCGAGGTGTAGTTGGCTGGCGACAAGAGCAATGTGATCGTGTCTAGCCCGCTCTGTCGGTTAAACTGCGCGCCCACGCGCTGTCGAACAGATTTCCGTCACGTCTACTACAACCTCCTTCGCTTCGTGGGAACACCAGCGGGAAGAAACAGAGAGTGTTGGAAGATGTCACGACGTAAGTGCTACGGCAAAAACTCCTGCCGACAGATGCGTTACGTTAGTTATGCTCGTTATTACATCTAATGCAAGAGCTTGTGCAGCCTGTACTTGTACGCGACATTACCTCCACTGCAAAGACACACATGACGTGAGTGTCACACCACAGCACTTCTACTGTGAAAAACTATACCCGGCATTACTGACACAGCAAATACTTGTCCGGTCTTTGCTTATACGCGACATTACTTTTACTGCAACGAGCTATAGCAGATGACATCAGTGCTACACAATAAAACTTTAAGTCATAAAATATGTTATTTAAACAAGCATATGTCCGTCTGTCTACTGTAAAAAAACTATGTAGTCTTGACTTGTCAGCGATTTTACTTCTTCTTTGGAGCATAGTTATGTGAAATTTGTGCAAAAATGTGGTAAATACAAAATAAGATGACATAATAAGCAACAGCTTTTCGATTAGCGCAACGAACGTTTATCTGTATAACTAAATGGCCTTTCGTATTGGCAAAACATACATTTTAGTTGTAGTATTGTCCAGTTCAGGTTCCTTCCTAAGCTGTGAACTGTTCCTACACCGCTGTTGGGTGTCCACGCATGCTGTGTTCCACGGCGAGCATCAGTAGAAGAAGTAGTGCTACACATACCCTTAATATGATACGTGTTTTTGCAGAAAACGTAATGACAATGATAGATTTTCACGCACACGTTCTGTCGCGTAGCAGTTATATTGCATTTAAGTCTTTGCAGTAAAGGTAACGACAAACACACGTCTGTGGAGCATATCTTTTGTCGTGTGGTACTCAAACCGTGTGGACGTCTTTACGGTAGAATAAATGCCGTAAATAAGCAATGGTTGTGCAAGTCCTTGCAGTGGGTATAATGATGGGTATGAGTATTGAAAGTATAAGTGTCGTCGTATAGCATTGATCTTGCGTACAAGTTTCTGCAGTAAAAATAATGTCATGCATAATTTCTGAATGTATAAGCGTTCGCAGTAGAAAAAAATGACGAGTATACATTTGTCCGGCGTAAGTTTTGTCGCATAGCAATAATGTTGTGTATCAATATTGGCCGTGAAAGTAATGCTTATGTCGCAGTAGCAGTTTCTGTTGTGGCACTTATGTTATGGAACCGCATTATAAGTCGCATATAGTAGGATAATATTGCACACGAGGACATGCAGAAAAAAACAATCCGCTGACCAAAGCCACCCGGCATCGTATCAGTGAGGTAAAGCCATGAACGCCGGGTTATCTCAACCAGTGCACCCAATCGGAAGGGTCAGGGCGACCACAGGACACTTCTGAATGGCGATGGTGTAGCAACATCACACCATGCCAAGAGGGCACTGACCTGCTGTACATCACAGGCGGGAAAGGAGGGTGCACCGACACCACTGCCGGGAAAAATGGCTTCACCGGCGGAACCATCCAATGAAAGGATAATTAGGACTAGTGGCATAACGTCACTGGAGGGCAGTTAGACTCAGTGGAACGGCACAGCCAGGGGAACACAGTTGGGTCCCCAGCATTGCACCGTCAGGAGGGGAGAGTTTGGCCTACCAGCGAAACAGGGAAGGACAGTTGGACCCATCCGCCCAACATGGCCGAGAAGGATAGACCCTGGCGCTACCTTGCTGCGCAAAGAACAGTTGGACGCACCATCGCTGCGCCGTCCGGGAGGGGGGGGGGGGGACAGTCGAACCCACCGGCGGTGCGCGGCCGGTCCTCCAGCATGACCACATCGGTGGCGCGCTGGTACAGCGGCACAGCATCGGCCGGCCTCGACGTCTCCAGAATCTTGGCCGACTTCTCCAGACATTGCGCCGCCGACTCCGGACTGCCGTGTTGCTGGAACGGCGCTCGCCGTCAGCGCGCGCGGGACTGCGGCCGCGCAGCTCAGACAAGTCCGAACGGGTCACGTGAGGAGGCTGCGCAGCTCAGACAAGTCCGAACGGGTCACGTGAGGAGGCTGCGCGGCTCAGACACGTCCGGACGGGTCACGTGAGGAGGCTGCGCGGCTCAGACACGTCCGCACGGGTAACGTGAGGAGGCTGCGCGGCTCAGACACGTCCGCACGGGTAACGTGAGGAGGCTTGCGAGGCTCAGACACGTCCGCACGGGTAACGTGAGGAGGCTGCGCGGCTCAGACACGTCCGGACGGGTAACGTGAGGAGGCCGCGCGGCTCAGACACGTCCGCACGGGTAACGTGAGGAGGCCGCGCGGCTCAGACACGTCCGAACGGGTAACGTGAGGAGGCCGCGCGGCTCAGACACGTCCGGACGGGTAACGTGAGGAGGCCGCGCGGACACAATCAGCAAATCCGCATCGATGTCACCCAGCCCAGCACGGAGACGGCGCCTTCTGAGCGCATAGCATACTCCCGACCGTCTGAATATGTGTGCTCAGGACGGCCGGCGCAGACCGCAGGCTCGCATCTCACCGCACCCGAACTCCGCACCGCCAACCGGAACACCGCACCAGAACCCAGCATCGCCCACCGGAACACCGCACCCGAACCCAGCACCGCCCACCGGAACACCGCACCCGAACCCAGCACCGCCCACCGGAACACCGCACCAGAACCCAGCATCGCCCACCGGAACACCATACCCGAACCCAGCACCGCCCACCGAATCACCGCACCCGAACCAACCACCGCCCACCCGAACCCAGCACCGCCCATCGGAACACCGCACCCAAAACCTGCACCGCCAACCGGATCACCGCACCAGAACCCAGCACCGCCCACCGGAACACCGCACCCGAACCCAGCACCGCCCACCGGAACACCGCACCCGAACCCAGCACCGCCCAATGGATCGTGTGCACCCCAGCGCGTGGTCGCGTTTCCCACCTGGAAGAGTTTGGCGGCGCGCTCGCATAGCGTGATGACGGTGGGCAGGTCGGCCAGCTCCTTGCTCATCAGCACGCCCTGCTCGTAGCACTTGGCCGCAGCGAACAGCGACCCGTTCTGCTCGTGGCAGTTGGCGGCCTTTGCGAGGCAGTCGCGGCACTCGGCGTGGGCGCGCACCGTCTTGTAGCAGGTGGCTGCCGCGGGCAACAGGTCAGACCCACGTGACGCCGCCGCCCAGGCGCCAACCGGCCAGCTGACGGTGCGTCAGCTCGGGACGCCCCACTCTCGGGCATCCAGTCGGAGGCACATACCGGCTGCAGATTCATAGTGATGGCTACATGTTTTGTAATTGTCCACGATGAACGTGCCGTTCTTAAGTAGCACACCGTCTGGTGCAAAGGGGCGCTGCACTAGGCACAGCACCCAACGGTCCAGTCATCAGCCGGGCGGAGCCGACAGCTGCACAGCAGCAGATCTAAGCGCATGTACTCAAGAAACAAGTCAGGAGCGGCGTCATTAGCTGGTGCTTGGAGCTATTAACGTACGTCGCGCTTACATATGTACGTCGGGTGGCGATCAATGAAAACAGTCTGACGCAATATAGATAAGCCAGCGGGCATCGGAGTTGTTCGCAGTACGAGGCCACCTTCACTGGGTGGAATGCCGCACTTCAAGCCAGTGATCAGCACGACTAAACATCGCGAATTTGACAGGGCCAGAGCCTTTCCAAGGAGCCTTTCCCAGGAATACGACCTGGCGGTAACTGATCAACTTATCAGTAAGACGACATCCAGGCTCTTGAACAAAATCAGATGCATGGCTATGCTTTCACATTCCGTTCACCATTCGCGCACATCATTATGGGTTTTTGTGCATGATTGGGTAAACCCATGAGTAACAATGTGACACATTGATCGGCGATATAGCTCTCGCACAGAGCTCCAAAGTAATGGGTCTTTTTAAAGCATGCACTTCACATGATGCATGGCCAAGCAGGCACCTATTGATGATGATGATGATGATGGTGATAATGATAAAGGCTTGTTGACCACCTAGGTCATGTGGCACCTGCAGGTGTCTATTGACACTGGAAAAAGATTGTCAAGAGGTGGTTGAAACTCAAGATGTTTGTCAATTTCCATACCATTTTGAATGGTGCAACTTTCAGTGATGGCAGCAGACTCTAATTCAACACACACATGAACAGATGATGCAACAAAGCCTTCATCACAAAAGAAGCAATCCAAAATCAACAGATTGAGCTGTGAGCTGTCACAATGGCAGGACAGCTTAGTGTGATCTGCACATGGCAGCAATGCAAAGGATATGCACAACAGATACTTGGTTTATGGTTGTCATGCTTCTCTATTCAATTCTGTGTCAGATGACTGCATTGCACACAGCTATTCATATTTCATGACTGGAGTTGAGGCATAAATAAAACTGCCTAACAAATTAGTCACATATATGTGGAACAGCAGGTGGAGCCAGCCAATGATGGCTGAGGAGTTCACAAACTCACAATAAATATCAGGTTTGGAAACAATAGCAGCAGGGCCAATAACATACTAGAGCGAGTCCTGTTTTGTTTTTGTTATCTGGTTTTGACAGATTGTCTGCAATGGAAGACCCATCTAAATATGCAAAATCAAATTATTAAGAAAGGTTGCAAATCAGACAACATATGGTCATGCACATGTTTCTTAGTCAACAACTAGTGTAAGCAGGTAGGTAAGTTCACAGATGTTTTTGTGTGGAACATATAATATATACTCACCTGCTTTGTTGTATTCATCTGCAGCTGAGTCTAGATCTGGCTTCCATTTAAAAAATGATGTTTTCAGGCTGAAAACAAAGCATATGCATTACAAAACAAGCACAACCTACACATTAAGATGAAATAAATAATATGCACAGTAAAAAGTTCCTAAGCTGTGACATGAATAAATACACCACAATGCTAATGGTAGACCAAATAAAGGTTTATTGAAAATACTTTGAATAAGCAACTGCTATATACATACACTCATCAAATGTTATTGTGTGATGCAAGTTATAGCCATGATGTGTGACTAATAGACATTCAAGCAAACACACCCCTCATATTACAGTTATCAATGAAACACATCTAGTAACCCTGGATGTGCTTTACATTATTAGCTAGACTGCTTACTATTTTTCAGCTTCCTTTATGTGTGCCAAGGCTTCTTCTTTCTTACTTGACATGATTCAATGCTGGAAAGGACCAAAAAAATTAGCTGACTCAACAGCACATTCCAATGGCCAAGGAGAGCAGCCAAGCTCTTCCAATATGACATCATTTTGACAACACCCCATCAATGCTGCAGCACAAGGTTCAGCATGCACAAGGGTTTTCATAGTATAGAGAGCACAGTACATGGAAATGCTCAAGAAAGCAGAATAAAGTTCAAATAAACATGCTTAACTAACAGTCATGCAGTTCATTTTTGTGCCAGTATTGGTAACAGGTATGTAACAGGAGAAGTAATACTATATGATAGCAATATTGCTTTAAGAAGCACAAACACACCTAATTAAAATGCTAGCAATACTGATGCAACATTACATGAGCTGTTCGAAAACACCACAATGTGTGTGGGCTTGAGGCTGTTCTGCTCATGTTAAATGTAACTGCAGTCATGCTTGAGGGCTCCAAAAACACATCACATCCATTTGATTAGGATGTACTAGGGCCATGCAACATTTGCCCATAATGATTATGAAGCACCTAATGTTTTAACAGAAGCAAGCTATGGCTGCCTGTGAATGTTCAGTACTATCAACCATCCATATCAATCAGCATAGTTATTGAGCTCACCTTCAGTTTACCAAATAAATATGCACAGCTGCCAAATAGGTATCACCTTCATGCAACACCCACTAAATGAAGCTGGATCCTCAAACACCATTACTTCAATCATAGTGCAAATGAAAATAAGGATCATTGTGGTTTCAGACCTCACTGACTGCCCAGGCACCTTTGAGCCATCCTACAAAAATAATATGCTGTGCCAGATGCCTACATGTCTTAAAGCCCTGAACCTTGAGTTCAAATGTGCAAAACTCAAGCCAGGATGCATCCCACTGATTTTTTTTTTTGGTTACCTCAGCACAAGAAATTGGCATTACATTTCTGTAAAATCTCATTCTCAGCATAATAATTGCTTGAAAAATTGGCTTTCTATGCACTAAAATTGGCAGAACTGTGCATCAAATGCAAGCAAATAAAAGTGTGTGTATACACCTTGCTGTGACATCTCTGCTATGCCCATTCAACATCTTGATGTCTCTGCTGTACCATACATGTTCAGAATAACCTGTCTTTGCAGTCTAAATAATTTTGAGAGTGGGTACCTTTAATTAATGTCATGCAACAAATATAGCTCAGTGTCATAGCACTGTAGGGATGGAGGCATTGAAGCTTGAAGCGCCTTGTGCTGCTCATGCTCAACTAGCCAAGCAAGCTATACTTGTCATTTTATATGGCCATTGGCCACTCCTTCATGTTCCCAAGGATAGCTGCCCAGATCCAAGAGTTTTGATGTTCCTTCAATATAATAAGGTGAAGAAACAAGCTCGATGCCATGCACTTCGTTTATTTAGGGAGATGCATCTTTCACCGAGCAGGAAACTACTGACAAATATTCACCTCGCACGTTACATCTCACCCAAAAATTCCAGCAAACCCCATTCAATGCAAACTCACACGTCAAAACGCTCTCGACGAGAAGCCAGCTGATACCTAACCGAAACGCAATGCGCTCATGGGTCTGACAGACAGGTCCCGCAATTAACCTGCCTCGCCTAAGACTCAGTTTTATTGATCAAGTGCTGACAGCTGGCCTGACTGTGGGCGATCTGATGCCATTCTGCCGTATTTTGTCGAGTATGCGCAGTTTTGAAAAGCATACAATACTGCTACCAGACCGAAGATTTTGGGCACATGATATGGCTGCATACAGAAAATATGCGAAGAGCGACTGAAGAGAGGCACAGGGACACCGGACGACGATGCGTTGGCAAAAGGCGATAAAAACGGGTAAACGCGTCGACATATCTCCCTTCTGCCGTCTCCCCATATACAGCATGCTCTTCCCGTGACGGTGTGACGTCCACGAAGTTGTCAGTTTATGTATCGATTTGTTCAGGTTGTTAGTTCTGATCACGATGCAAACGCGCTACTCATTAAGGCACAGCAACACCGAACCTGACTTCTTTTTTCATTATCCCGTGACCTTCAAAGCAACATTTAATGTCAAACAACAGGGAGCTCCATATCATCCAAAAGTAATCGGCTGATTTCGCAGTTTTGGGGATCAGAATTATGTTCAGCACACAAACTCGGCCGCTCTTTGACATCAACTGCAAGGCAAATGACGTGTAACTCCACATCGCGCGAAGTTACCGACCGATTTCGCATTTTCAGGCATCAGAATATTTATTAGAGTATAAACTAGCGTCCGTCACAAATGCTCGAACTCTCAAGGTGAATCTTCAAGGTGGGAATCTGCATGCACATACCGCGAATTGCTTGCATTGGCCCTGTGCCTTCGGCAACATTACTGATCATCTTCCCACGGGCACACGAGCATAGCTAAGGTAGTACTGCCTTTATTCAGTGCACATGTAACAATGTCTCATTAACAGATACGAAAAAACAATGACCCTCGTTGGCGGTCGTTCTGGGTTGGCTTGTGGAATGGTGTAGCGCGCGCGATCACACGACCGGCGGAACCCCGACGAACAGCGGTGACCCAGTGGCCAGAGATCCCCGGGGAAGTAACAACAAGCCGACGCCAGGGCAGATCAGGCGATCTTCACCTGACCCCTCTCATGATGAAATCACATTGATTGCTTGGACCGACCACGAAGACCAAAATTTAGTCTCATAACAGACCTCCACTGCGATCAGATTGAGCTCCTACGTCTCCTTCAGAGATCAACGCGCCTGGTTGAGAGTCTCTCGATGTAAGACAGAGGGGCAGAGTTGGGGTTCCACCGATATGATAATCCTACACAACGGCAGTCATGGATGGCTCATCGCATACAACATCTGCACAACATGAACGCGCTTGGTCCCAAGCCACTCCAACCCAAAATAGACACAATTTCAAGAGATTCGTACGCAGCTGCACAAACGAGAACTGGTACAAAATAACAAAGGCAAAACATTTGTGTAGCACAAAAGTTGACATTATGAATGCAAACGCACGATAATATAACTATAGCCACCGAGGAGTGGTTGCGATAAATTTACAGGCAGTTTGCGTGTGATTGAAAACGCTGAGGGATATTGAACTTGGGCGGATATTTTAACAAGTCACATCACGAATATATACGAGCATGGCCAACAAACCAACACATGGACAAAAGTGGTAGTGCGACACCAGTTACACCAGTGTCCGATCACAAGGCCTGGTAGCACAACAAAGCCATAATTTTATGCTGCAATCAGAAAATATCACCAAACCCAGAAAATGGGAGAACATGGAATGGAAACCCAGCCTGCGATAGGACACAGCTGATATGCTGTGGAATGGTCCGTACCTTTATCCGTTGCCTCGCGACCCGTTCGCAACACAGCATTTACGTTCAACGACGTTTCAGAGTAAAACACTTTACAATGCCGCCTGTTTTAGTATTGACGCTTTTGCTACTTCATAAGCGTTTATGCGGCATTCTGTCCTGGAACCTACACGGACTCACGGTCTTCAGCGCACATCTAGAGAGCATTATCGGGAACAAACTCAGACGATGCATACCAGCAAAAGTGCTACCAGTTCACATGCCAAAAATATAACAAAGGCACTGCTATGAACATGTGCCCATGGCTGCATTACAAGCCACGAACCGAACACAATAAGGCCACACCAAAGGTCGGCTGAACCACCGCATGATCACAGACAACTGAAGTCACTTCATTACAAGGATCCCGAACTCAAGGAGAGCACGGACCGTCACGATCAATGCATGTAGGACGGATAGCTCGCGACACCATCACCAACTTCACCAGGCCCAGGTGGCCGCCGAGTATGGCAGCCAGCCTTCAAACCCCGGCACCGACTTCACCAGGCCCAGGTGGCCGCCGAGTATGGCAGCCAGCCTTCAAACCCCGGCACCGACTTCACCAGGCCCAGGTGGCCGCCGAGTATGGCAGCCAGCCTTCAAACCCCGGCACCGACTTCACCAGGCCCAGGTGGCCGCCGAGTATGGCAGCCAGCCTTCAAACCCCGGCACCGACTTCACCAGGCCCAGGTGGCCGCCGAGTATGGCAGCCAGCCTTCAAACCCCGGCACCGACTTCACCAGGCCCAGGTGGCCGCCGAGTATGGCAGCCAGCCTTCAAACCCCGGCACCGACTTCACCAGGCCCAGGTGGCCGCCGAGTATGGCAGCCAGCCTTCAAACCCCGGCACCGACTTCACCAGGCCCAGGTGGCCGCCGAGTATGGCAGCCAGCCTTCAAACCCCGGCACCGACTTCACCAGGCCCAGGCGGCCGCCGAGTATGCAGCCAACCTTCAAAACCCGGCACCGTCTTCACCAGCCGCGCCGCCAGCGTCGCCGGCGCCGCCTCAGTCCCGTCATCACAGCTCCGGGTGAACGAAGTCGAACTGCTGCGAAGGCGCGCCCGAGCAGGGGACCACCGCCAGCAGGTGCATCGCCTCTATGCCGTCCCCGTCCAGACAGAGGTTGGACGAGAGGTGTTGCAGCTGGCCGCTCTGTCGACAGACGGCGGGTTGGACGGGGTTAGCGAACGCCGCGGTGTTTGGCCGCTCTGTCCACAGAGGGAGAGCCGGGCGGGGTTAGCGAAGACCGTGGCGTCTGGCCGCTCTGTGGACCGAAGGAGGGCCGGCGGGGTTAACGAAGACCGTAGTGCCTGGCCGCTCTGTGGACCGAGAGAGGGCCGGGCAGGGTTAGTGAAGACCGTAGTGCCTGGCCGCTCTGTGGACCGAGAGAGGGCCGGCGGGGTTAACGAAGACCGTGGTGCCTGGCCGCTCTGTGGACCGAGAGAGGGCCGGGCAGGGTTAGCGAAGACCGTGGTGCCTGGCCGCTCTGTGGACCGGAGGAGGGCCGGCGGGGTTAGCGAAGACCGTGGTGCCTGGCCGCTCTGTGGACCGAGAGGGCCGGGCAGGGTTAGCGAAGACCGTGGTGCCTGGCCGCTCTGTGGACCGAAGGAGGGCCGGGTAGGGTTAACGAAGACCGTGGCGTCTGGCCGCTCTGTGGAACGAAGGAGGGCCGGGCGGGGTTAACGAAGACCATGGTGCCTGGCCGCGCTGTGGACCGAGGGAGGGCCGGGCGAGGTCAGGAAAAGCCGCGGTGTCCGGCAACTTTGTGGGCAGACCGGCGACTGTGGCATCTCGTTCAAAACTTCAGTGTCATTGGAATACACAGCAAAGCTATACTTTGGTGAAGGACTTCAAACGAAAACGTGCCAATCCAGTGTCAAACAAATATGCCGAAATGGCGATAGTGGTTAAGGGTAATGTTTCACATTTGAATGTATTGGAGCAAGCATCAGACATGGGGAAATAAGATTATAAGAACTATTGGTGTGCTCTCAAGTGTCAGAGACCGTTCAAGACAATATAATTGTCCTATTTAGTTCATGCAACACTCGATGCATCAACGTTTCATCACGTAGTGGAACATTCTTATGACGTCCTGTCGCCGCCAGACTGACCGTGTCAGAATTGCCACTGTAACAGACGGGCCGACGCACATGCAGCACTTCAATCTCCAGGAAGGTGATCTCTAGCACGTGGCGATGCTGAAGGCCTTACTGGACCAAATATCGCCGTGTGGTCCTATTTTGTCCCTTTCTCGTGATGTTCTCACATATTTGTCCGTGATTTTACACTGTTAACTTATATTCACATCATCGATTAAGGTGCTATTCTTTGGTCGTTCGATTCCCTATCAAATTTCTGTAAAAGCTCGTACCAATATTTAACTTCCTGTATCATTCGATACAAAGTGTGAGCCGTGTTCGAATCATCCGCCCCTCTCATCCTTCCTCTCGCCTCAACCCTTATCCTCGCGACCCCCGTTTGTCCGGGACAGGTTGCATGCGCCCGGAACGAGTAAGCCAAGAGGCTTCCTAATGGGGACCTCGTACGTACGCTAGGCACGTGCCGCACAGACGAGTCTCCGTGCGGGCTTTGGCCTTGAGTACCACATGGCCAATGGGGCGGAAGCATTCGCGTGACGTTCCTATGGGATAATGCATGCCTGGGTGGCATTGAAATAGTCCGCACAGGTTAAAGAGCGTCTAGCTCAGAAACCAGATGCTTTCAAATCTTAAAAAGGCCAGGGCTTTGAAGTGCGCTGAGTGATCTTCAAAACAGCCATTCCCGTTGAAAACTCCACACAAATTTGAAACAATCTCTGTCATCCAACCGTCAGTCGTTATGAATATGATATATAACAATCATTTATCGTGGTAAGGCTGATCGAGACGTTCAAAATAATAAGCATCAACTTCAAGGGTGTGCCAACTTGTTTGTACTTTTCACTTATTGTACGATCAAACGCACACGCTTTAATAAAATAACCAGTTTTGTCGAAATCCTCTAGAACATTTCGAATCTGCATTTTAAAGTAGCCGCTCCTGCGGGGAAAATATAATTGCACTTCCTGCCCACCACTATGAAAGTAATGCATTTCATTGGCCATGCTTTTTCCACGTGAGTGTTCTGTAATGTTTGCAACACGCTAATTCGTCAAAATATTGGTGTGACAAATGCTACGAAAGCTTAAAACATTCTGTTTACATAAAGGTATGCGAACATGAAGTTTTTTTCTCGCGAATGCAACAAAACGTTTTACTACGCCTTTGGTTTCTCCCTGTGGCGTTTACCACCGCGACTCTCTTCGAGGCCCACTTTGCCTTTGGGAATGGGGGCATCACATGGTCCACAGTGCTCCATTGGTTCAAATTTCAACCAATGCATTTCTTGTCCTCTCATTTTCAACCAATGCCGCTTCTGCGAGAGAAAATGTATATATGCGACAATAAAATAAGCAAGATTGATACCCTTGTTATGTGTAGACGGCGCTGTAGTCGCGCTACCCAGTGCCACGTCAGACGTAACTGGTCACGACGTTTCACCAGATTTTGTTCTTGAAATATACGCCAACTGTGGGGCATTCCCTTCAGGCTTGGAAAGCTCCGCTTTGTTGACGCTCCAGCGGGGGTTGAAATGAGGACTAGATAATCCAAGCGTATTTAAGTATGGTGGGGGAACGATGAGGGCAGACGAAAGTCAAAGATCGAGAGCAGGAAAGGTGATGTTGGCGTGCGTGTGTTAGTGTTTGATCACTGAGAAAGACAAGACCGTGTGCAGTTAAAAGCCAGCCGATGAGGTGCTCTCGGGGATTCGTGCTAGTGCATCTCCAGGCTTGGTGATGAGCGTTTAAGTCACCTAGGATCATACAGGGAACTTATTTCTTGTTGAAAAGAGTTGGAAGTGTGGCCCTCGTTTGAGTTAAAGAGACGTTCACCAGAACCAAGAGCCAAGGGAATTGCATCTGTTGGTTGTTCAGCAGCCTCTTCAAAATGGGTCATAGTCCCAGATCTTGAAATGAATAAAATTCAACAGTTTCACTTAAGGTTAGTTTATAAGAACACGTGCAGAAATAACTGTTTGCAGACTTGGAGATTATTGTGGTAACCCTCATATTATGAGGCTTAGTGTGAGCACCCTGGAACCGATGCAATGCCTTTTTATGTTAGTTATGACCAAACATAATACAGAAGGGATGGATGTGATATCAGGTTTCTTACACCTTGTTCTTTTGGCACTAACCAAATTTCAGGGTTGGGTATGAGTACCTAGAATGAAAGATAAAGTTGGCGGGCCCATGCGGACTTTCGGGCGGGGGGGGGACACTTATCTTGCGGGGCGGGTGGGGGCTTTTAAATTTGGGTGGGGGTGGATGCAGGCATTCCAAATCAAAATAATTGGCAGCTTTAACGGGTAGGCACCGCATCAGGGCCCGTTCGATCTGCCGTCTGCACCACTGTTAGCTGGAACACGCCACGTAATGCATGCTGACGGAGTGCCCGGTATGAGGGCTGACGGAAGTTTTTTTAAACTTAACCTTCCCTTTTTCTTTAACCTTTAATTACTCCAAACCTCACACTTACTCTGGCTTGTCGCCAACCACGCCACACTGCCTTTAAAATGGCGTATCGAGATGTGGCTTACGCTCCAGTATCACCCCCATCTATCCCATCCGTGAGCTGAGTGTTTCTTCCCAGTCCCGTCTCATTCAAATTTCTTCCCTTCCCATTTGACACGTTCGCGATTTTTTGTAGGAAAGGACTAACGATCCTTCACTGCTAATTGTTCTGACATGGAGCCAATTCTCTAATTGAACTTGTATTGACTTGACACTTGTAATAGCAAAGCCCATGTTCGAGACACGGGGCGCTTCGTTCCTGTTCTCTTTTTCGTCCTATTTTTCGAACGATCTTTTACGGTTACTGTCATTGTCATTGTCATTGGGGCTTTACGACACACTCAGCTGCTGTGGCTATATATGGCGTCGCCTGCCTCTCACCCTGGCGGGAAGGGCGGGCAACGCGGGGAATCGAACCCCGCACCTCTGGTTTCCCAGACGCGCAGTGGTTAACGCAGACGCGTTACTTTTACGGTTACTCTAACGCTGTTCATTTTCTGGGGAACACAGTTACACACCAAACAAATCACCGTCAATCACTTTGTCATGGCTGGTCTTGACAGCCCAATTTCCTTTTTTATCTATCTTAAGTCGCATCCCCCAAATAGAGACAAGTGCCCTGGCCCCACCTAACGAACTCGCAAACGCATGACCTACCAGAAAAACTCGCGCTTTCTTGTAAGAGCGCTTTATCTAATCTGGTAGCGCTATGTAATTCTACACCCAATCTCCATGCTGACGGACTGACAAAAAATCCTGGTAGCGGCGCCAGCCGGAGCGTGACCTGACAGGCCACGTGACCGTGTTCACATGACGTGACGTAGGGAGGATACTGCGTCATGACTGGTGCTGACAAAGGTGCTGACGACAGATCAAATGCGGCCCAAAGGACGTCCATGCCCCAGCAGGACCCGAGGTTACGTAACCGTCCCATATTCTCGTTTTCAAGCAAGACTCCATACGCCGACTTTGCAAAAGCCCTCCATCGCAGAGCAAACCGCAGGGGCAGAAGTCTCAGCAGCAGCCGCTGCAGCCATGTTTGATCTAGGCATCCACTGCAGGATAGCTCTGCACTACTTTGGGAGTCAGCGCGGTCATGCAAACACTCTCAGTGAGTGACGAAATTCCCAAGCCCGTGTAGCGAAGCGCAGTGGGCAGCACAGCCGCGCGCCCCCTCCCACCAGTTCCCTCTGAGCTCCAGCCCGGCAGCCGGCTTTTTATCGCTCCAAAGCCCAAGGTCGTTGGCCGAGGTTCACCCGACACTCAGACACGCCCAGAGGCGGTGTCGGCGTGCACCGGCTCTGGGGCGAGCGTGGCAGTGCTGAGCGCTACTAACGCGATCTCGTCAATGTCCAAAACTAGCCTGTAGCCACCTGTCCGCCACCCAGCATCCGACTCCGAGCGCACCGCCAGGCTGGTTCGCGGCGCCGCGCACTGCCCCCGGACACGGCCACCTCCGGCCTCCCCCGTCCGGTCCCTGAGCGCGCCTCTGCTCTCGCCCGACCGTCCGGACGGCGAAGGGGCCGCCCGCGACGACGGCCGCAGTTGCACACGGCACGTCTGCTCGTCTCGCTGCGCACGGTACAGCGACCGCCAGCGATCGCGGAGCCCGGAGAACGCGCACGCGCGCCGCCCCCGCCCCGGTGTCGACCGCCGCGCGTGTCGACTGGGGCTGTGACCTGCACCGGCCGGCCGCGGGGCCTGCAAGCGGCGCCTAGGCGGCGCAGTGACCGCGCTTGACTGCGAACCGGTGCGCGGCGAACACTACCGCCATGAGCGTGGTCGGCGCCAAGCTGGGCGGCTTCGCCGTGCTGCTGCTGACCTCGTTGGTGCTGGGCCTGCTGCCGTTCAAGCTGACCCCGCTGCTGCTGCGGCGCGCCGGCACGCAGCACGGCCGTGTCAATATGGCGCTCTCCTGTTTACAGTGCTTCGGTGGCGGCATCCTGCTGGCCACTGTGTTCGCACACATGCTGCCCGAGTTCCGCCAGAGTCTGTCAGAAGTGGGGCCCGGCGCCGACTTCCCACTGGCCGAGGTGCTGCTCTGCGTCGGTATGTTCACCATCTACGCTATCGAGGAACTAGTGACGATCGGCGTCCGCCGCAGCAGCGGCGGCGGCGGCGGAGGCGGCAGCAGCGGCAACAGCAACGCGGAGGCGCCCATTCTGAAGACGGCGTCTGGCGGCGGGGATGGCGGCGCCGGGCCACCGGCTGCTGCGTCGCGGCCCGACTACGGCGCCGTGGTCGACTCGGCCGGCGGCGGCAGCAGCGGACACGGCCACTCGCACTCACACATGGCACCGCCGGCCAACCTCGGCAGCTTCCGCGTGCTGATCGTGGCCGTGGCGCTGTCGGTGCACTCCGTGTTCGAAGGTATGGCGATCGGGCTCGAGGCCACGGAGACCAGCGCCTGGCTGCTCACCGCCGCCATCGCCACCCACAAGTCCATCATCGCCTTCTGCCTGGGCGAGCAGCTGGCCACATCGCCGCAGCCACTGCGCACGGCCATCATCACCCTGCTGGTGTTCGTGCTCGCCTCGCCGGCTGGCATCCTGATCGGTATGCTAGCCTCGTCCTCCGACGGCGATGTCGCCTCGCAGACGCTCATGACGGACGTGCTGCAGGCGCTGGCCGCCGGCACCATTCTGTACGTCGTCCTCTTCGAGATCATCAGCGGCGAGCGCGCCAAGCCCGGCAACGGACTCGTGAAGCTGTCGGCCATCCTAGTCGGCTTCGGCTTCATGCTGCTGGTGACGAACCTGGTCAAGGAGCCGGAGCCAGAGTCGGACGGCACGGCCGTCACGTCGGCTTCTCCTCGGACCGCGGTCTAGCGCCGCAAGGCCGCAAATGGTGCCGTGTAGGGCATGCCGTCGATGGTTGCGCCGTGCGCACGGATTACTAGTGAGCCTTCACACCCTCTAAGTTTTGCTCGCTTTGACAGAGTTCGAGGAGGATGACCACTTCCAGTCACTCTACCACCCCATCTTGTTACGTAAGACTTCATCACAGAACAGTCGCCTTGCGCGTTTGACTGCCATCATTCCAGACAGCCTTCTCAGACAAGTTCTGTGAACCAATTCCGGCCGTACAGCTAAGGTCCTCTTGCCCGCCGAGTCTAGTCTATGAAGCTGACTCCTAATCCGAATAGCATTCACGCATACGGGAGTGAAGCCTCGATTGTACGATTTCCTACCCCAAAGTTGACAATGATGCTAGAGGCAGCACGTCGCAAACGATGTCGCCACTATATTTTTTCAGCGAACGGCGTCTATTTTGAGCCATGTACACAACTGCTGGCTCAAGTGTGCTCTGTTTGAACGGATAACATCGCGATGCACGATGGAAGGTGGTTTGATGTAGAGTTAAGCGACTACTCTTGACTAACGCTGATCTGATGCCACTGTAGAATGAAGCCAGTGCATTTGACTAACGTTGATTTGATGAAAATGAAGCGACTGCATTAGACTAACGTTGATCTGATGTCATTGCAGAATGAAGCGACTATATTTTACTACGACTGTTAAGAATGAAGGTTAGGTTGCTTTGATTTTACACCGCCGTTTTACTCCGGCTGCAGTGCGCGCTCCGGCCATTTGTTCGCATCGAAACGCTACCATTTTAGTTAGATCGACAATACGATAGCCAGCGGTCCCCAACTTAAGCGAGCTTGCGTTCAACATGTCTATGATTTGGATATCCAGACTCATGCGAACCGAAGCAATAAACCCGATGGACAGTAACAGCGCGGCGTGCGGTTGTTTTAATGGAAACCGTGACAAAACACGCAGGTAGGTATGGGCATACCATGAGGTTGCCTTGTCAGGCCGTCTCTCAACGTCAGCAATTCCGCACATTTGCCTAACACAGTAAGCTGGCGACCTTTGTTTGCAAAGTTGGAGAGACGCGTTACACGAGCGCTTGCACAGCAATACAATCTTGTACCTTTTAGATCACACCAGGTACATAACGGACACTGAACCGTAATGATGGTGGCAGCCTGGGCACTAGCCACACCGAATAAGACGATGGCTGATGGCATTAGCATTTACCCTACACTGCACCACCGCGGGTGCGTTGGCAAAACTGCAATGAGGGCCGCCATCTGGGCATTAAAGGTCAGGCAGCGTCCGTCAGAGCAGTGCCCAAGCCGGACGCCAGCAGATGTTGGGCAACACGTGCTTCGCCGAACGCAAGCTTGTTTACCATGATTCCCAGCTACACACTCACGGACTGTCTACGACAGAGTTGCCGCCGGGTACAAAGCCGACATCTGGGTCGTTATACTGGTACAGCTGGTGTGTTGGGCAAGGGCACCTGGGCCGGTGCACTGGTACAGCTGGTGTGTTGGGCAAGGGCACCTGGGCCGGTGCACTGGTACAGCTGGTGTGTTGGGCAAGGGCACCTGGGCCGGTGCACTGGTACAGCTGGTGTGTTGGCAGGGCACCTGGGCCGGTGCTGGTACAGCTGGTGTGTTGGGCAAGGGCACCTGGGCCGGTGCACTGGTACAGCTGGTGTGTTGGGCAAGGGCACCTGGGCCGGTGCACTGGTACAGCTGGTGTGCTGGGCAAGGACACCTGGGCCGGTGCACTGGTACAGCTGGTGTGTTGGGCAAGGGCACCTGGGCCGGTGCACTGGTACAGCTGGTGTGTTGGGGCAAGGGCAACCTGGGCCGGTGCACTGGTACAGCTGGTGTGTTGGGCAAGGGCACCTGGGCCGGTGCACTGGTACAGCTGGTGTGTTGGGCAAGGGCACCTGGGCCGGTGCACTGGTACAGGCTGGTGTGCTGGGGCAAGGACACCTTGGGCCGGTGCACTGGTACAGCTGGTGTGTTGGGCAAGGGCACCTGGGCCGGTGCACTGGTACAGCTGGTGTGTTGGGCAAGGGCACCTGGGCCGGTGCACTGGTACAGCTGGTGTGTTGGGCAAGGGCACCTGGGCCGGTGCACTGGTACAGCTGGTGTGCTGGGTAAGGACACCTGGGCCGGTGCACTGGTACAGCTGGTGTGTTGGGCAAGGGCACCTGGGCCGGTGCACTGGTACAGCTGGTGTGTTGGGCAAGGGCACCTGGGCCGGTGCACTGGTACAGCTGGTGTGTTGCACTGCATTATCAATATGACGCCCACGCGAAGGCGGACACGCTAGTGCTCCGAGACATCATGGCTGCCTAACTTTATACAAATAGTCACTCGAAGGATGGAGCCCTGCGGTCCAACACAACATTCGACCTTTAAAGGAAATGTTCCACGTTTATATGGGGTTTGAGATGAAATAGCCTTCTTGAAGACCTTTCGGCGCTGTCCACAATCCCAACCTTTCTCAAGACCTACGCCCTTCTAGTTTCTGAGATATACGGCTGCGAAAATATGGTCAGATTTATCGGGGAGAGTTTTTCAAAATTACCTTGGCATTCATGACGCCATAATAACGTCATTCAAATCTCCCATTCCATATGCCATGCGGCGATCAAGGCCAAGATAAATGTAATTATCGAGGCGTTCATGGGCGCAAAATGGCCCTAGAAGTCGACGCGCCCTAAAACCCCAATCATCATCATCGAGGCGTTCATATCTGGCGTTTGTGAGCGCAATTTCCATGTATGATGGCCGTCAACTGGCTTCCGACCAATGTTGTGCAAGATACGATGATGTAATCAACCCACGACGCATTGAGAAGCGTGTTTACTAAGCAGAGAATCGTGCTGTCTAGAGCAGCCTTTTCCACCTAAAACACATACCAATAGTGATAAGTGGGCTTGTTTTATCATACATGATGTTTGCTTCAATACCTTCAAATACGAAACATTTCCCACAGCAAGCGCTCGGGTCGGGGTGGGGGGGGGGGGGGGAACATGACCCCGTCAAGATTTACACAGAACAATTTCCGAACGGTGCGGCAAAGCCTTGCCAAACTTAATGTAACTGTAGACAATGGAAATTGCGGATCTTTTAGTATACAACATTAGATATACCGTGAAAGATCGTTGCCACGGCCCTATCTCCATCTGAACTCAGGCTATCAAACCTATAAATCTAGAACCCAAGCGCCCACTGATGGTTGGGCTGGTGACGACAGTAAGGATGGACAAGGACATTGGAACGTATCATACGACGCTGGCCGTTATGTAATCAATGTGACCGGACATACGGGAATTGTATTAGATACATGTATATCTACATAACACACACACACACACACACACGATATATATATATATATATATATATATATATATATACTGGCAGATTCCTTCCTTTTTTGCATGTTCGATTTAAAATGACCGTTGACTCAGCATTGAGAAGCTTTTTTATGCATCGTTCGAGTTTCAGGGTTTCTGGCTTAGCATTGAAGTTTAGATTAGAGGTGGTTCGTGCAAAACCATTCAATATTCGTCCATCTTTGCATTCTTACGCTTCGACATCTTGTATCATCGTCGGAGAAGTCTGAATGGCACAAGAAGTAAGTTTGAGTTTTAAGGGACCAAAATTGTGCATTACTATTGAAAAACAACTTTTGGTACAGAGAAGACAAAGGAAATATGGCTAACTGAAGTAAGACAAAATCCTTTCATTACTTTCACACTTATAAAATACACTCATAATGGAAGCACTACAAAGACACGAACACATTATCACAATGACATCAATAACACTCACCGCTCACCACCTAATAACTCAAGTGTTGTCCAAAAATGTGTTGGTCTGTTATGGGCTGGATACAGTTTGTTAACAAGAATACTTTCCCACATTTAAAGGCGTTTCCTGTCGTTGCACGCCTGCATAATGCAAGTGTTGCCTGTCAGTTGTTGCGTTAACGTCCTGTCATTTCCATCGCGTCCATGCTTTTCATCGCAATAGGAAAATATCTAACTTCCTTACGAGAAACAGCCCAGACGAACCCAGGAAACCAAAAATGCACCAATGTAGTGCATCGATCCCAACGCAATATCGAAGGCCGCGAACTTGGTTCCATACACTACACTGGCGTGACCACGACACTCCCGACGCCTGACAGTGCCCTTGCGCGACGGGGCACCTCTGGACCACACGCGACACGAACATGTCAGGACATTGACACAACAACTGACAGACACCAGTGACATTCTTCAGGCATGCAACGACAGAAGATGGCTTGAAATTTGGGAAACCCATCAACGAACCCTCTCCAGCCCTTAGCAGACAAACACACTCTTGCACAAGCCTTGAGTTGATAGGTGATGGGCGGCGCGTTCTACTGATGCTTTACTTCCATTGGCCATGCTTTTCAGTTGGCCAACTTTCATTCTTTGAAACTAAAAACTTATTTTGTGTACCATTCAGCCTTCTCCGACGATGAGACAAAATCTCGAAACGTAAAAATACAAAGATTGGCGAATATAATGAATATGAATGATTTCGCACGAACCATCTCAAATATAATCGATAATGCTAAGGCAAACGACCGGAAACTTGAGTGATGTTTAAAAAGCTCGTCAACGCTGAGTCGGGGTTCATTTTTTATCGAACACACACGGACCACGGACCACGGACACGGACACGGACACGGACACGGAGGACACGGACACGGACACGGACACGGACACGGACAGGAACAGGGACAGGGACACACGCACGCACGCAGGCACGCACGCACGCACGCACACACACACACACACACACACACACACACACACACACACACACACACACACACACACACACACACACACACACACACACACACACACACACACACACATATATATATATATATATATATATATATATATATATATACCTATATACATTCATATATTATATATATTATTTTCGCTTTCCTTTGCATTATTTTCGCTTTTTCTTTCCTTTCGCTTCCTTTCAGCACCTTTGGCTTCTTATGTGACATGTCACTGGCCTGGGGCAAAGGACAGTCAAGCGAGCTGCTACACTCATACGTCGGAGGGTGACCACCTTACTGACCTCCTCTAGAGCGTCGAGCACCGCCAAAGAACGTAACCTACCTCCGGAAATGGTGCCGTGGTGAACTATCGTGTGATCCTTACAGCATCTGATTTCACTATGCTCGAAACGTAAACGAAACTGTGTTGAAAAAACTTGATGTACGATATGAGCAAATAAGTACAGCAAGCTTGCACAGGCGATGTAAAATCCGGCTTGTGGTCGGATTCGAGGACCCACTTGACATCGATACTTAACCGGCCGGTGGCAATACAACTGCATCGCATTATTCAAACCGCTTAGAAGGCTGTGCGGATCCAATGGCGATGTTAGCATCGTTTTTCAACAACGTTTCAATCGCTAACGCCCATTCATTACCAACATGACCAGCTCAGCCACTTGCGCTTCGCAGGTGTTTCAACTTTCGAATACAGGCCATCAAAAGTCTTATAATAGTTTAGCGTATTGGAAACCACCGTCGCTCACACGTTTTTCAACGGAGTGATTTTTTAGCTGTTCCGGTGTATATGGACAATATGTGATGTGACCACCACAGATGCCAACGATCTCTTAGCAGGCTGTGAACCGACGCACATCGAGCAGCCTTGAAAACGGCCATCAACGAGCCCAAGTGCGCCTTATTAACGCATCACTTCAGCACAAGTGTGAACATCATGCCATTTAAGTTTCCGCAGCAAATTAGGACCATTAATGTTACCAAAGCCCACATGTAATAGGCCAAACGCAGTTCTCGTCATGTTCAGGCACGATAAAGTTGGTCTGATGATAACGTGCCCCGAGCAGCTATATGGTAACACGAGGGCACCCCGTGAACTGCGGAGAAGTCCGAGGTCCGAGGTCAATACCCACCGACGCGCTCCCAGAAACACCTGAACCTACCAAGAGCGGC